CATGTGCACCCTTTATAGCCAATAAGGTAAAGCACRTGCAGTGTTACAGGAAGAGAAGCACAGCCAGCTGATCAGGTGTGCCAGGCCATCAARTCCAYGCAGTCTATAATAAACCCAGTAATYRCTTTCYTCCACCAGAGGAAAGGCCCCTCAATTCCTGGATAGTGGATTCATTACCTGATTCTTTTTCTGCAAACTGGAAGCTCCTCACTGGGGTCAAAGGCAGTGTCAGTCCTTCTTTACTGTCTGGGGAACTGCTCAATTGCAGCCAGAGTGGTTAATTCTCCTGCATGGGCTCTTTTTGGCCACCAAATTCCTGGCAATTCCCATACCCCAGCTTCCACATTTGAGGCATCCCACTGCCCCATACTCTCCTCATGGTGATGAAGGCAGAACYCCAGGGTGGCACACAAATGTGCACATGGTACCCTCCCTCCCGAGCAGAGAGCAGCTCCCTTGTTAGCCCAGATGACGGCTGGTATGGAGAAGGAGGAAGACACAGAATCTTTGAATAGTGGAACTGTTGGGACAGTCTCTCCCAAGCAGAGACAAGCCTACAGGGGTGGGTGGCAGAGAGATTCTCTGAATCGCTGGAACAGCGTGGCCAATCCACCCACAGCTGGGGCCTTGGTGTTGGGCCAAGCCACGAGTCCCAGGTGCTGGCTCACCGTGACCGTGTGCTCCACACAAACTTTCACATGGACCACAGGCACTGGGTCTCATCTGGGTCTTTAGATGCCTGGTTGTACTCATGGCTGCTGTAGATMACCTCTGCCACTGCTAGTTCCCTCAGACACTGGATCCTGCTCYCAGTGGTTGTCCACTCTTGCCTCAATAGTTTACAAGAACTTTCTCAAGGGGATATTTCCACTTCACACTCAAGACAAGCTGCCTCCAGAGGCTGTTGATTTTTGCTCTTTTTCCAATCCTTTTGTTGGTGCCCAGACCCTTGAGAGGGATTCCAGCTGCTGGGCTTCCTTGCTGTCTTAATTCCTGGCTCCAGTACCCCAACACTGCAGCAGCCAGCTGATAATTAGCTAACCAGGTTGATGGCTGTAATCTTTGTGTGTATCTTGCTGCTTACTCAGGGATAAGGAGTTGATGAYTTCTGGCTTGTTCATGATTTCTCTTTCTCTCCTGTTCTTGTGATTGTTCTGCTGCACAGCAGGCTGCCTCTCCCATTTCTCCTCCTGATCCCTCTTGGGAGAAGATTTCYCCCTGACTGAGGGAATTGACTTCTGCCTCCATTGTTTCTTGTTGACAATAAGGGCAACTGATACAGGTGAGAGGTGGGTCTCTGGCTTAGCCATGGTGTTTGTTTGCGTGTCTTCAGACTCAGGGACCATCTCTGCCCTCCATGGGTGCTGAACAGTTCTTGGCAGGCTTAGGCCAGGCCCAGCAAAGTGTGAGAAGTTGTGTCCTTTTAGCACAGCCAAGGCATCCTTTTCTCCAGTGTCCTCTCACTTCATCAGGATCCTGCACTTGTCTGGGATCAGGTCCCACACCATCAGAGGGAAAAGCTGCTAGACACCTTGTCACCCATGACCACATAGCCTCAAGGCAAATCCCTGTGTGATACTCCTAAATACTCAGTTAATCCTAGGAAAAGATGGATACAGATTCTTAAGACACACTGATGTGAACATTCTGATTACCCAGGAGTGTTCAAAATACTGAAGAGTCATTGTAACAAGGTGGAAAGCAACTATCCTGCAGGAGGTGAAGGGGAAGGTGCTGTTTCCTCCACAAACTGTCTCTCAGAGGAAAAGAGAGAAAAGGTGTAATTGTTAATTATCTCCACGAGATGGTTCCCAGAGTACTGGGACAGCAGGAACGCAGAGCCAAATACCAGATTAGGCTCAGGGCCAGTGCTTTCATCATAGTTCTTCAGGGGAAAACACAACCAAGTGCTACACAGCACAGCAAACTGCAGAAGACTAACCCAGCCTTCAGAAAGCTCTCAAATTGCCATGCTCGCTCATGAGCATGACACAGAGTGGGCAAGGGAACAAATAAACCTGCATGGAGAGTGAATAAGTCAACATCACAACCAGCAATAGCTAAACAGGTGTAAGAGATTCCCTCTAGCACTCTYTGGTTAAACATTTTATAATCTTGAGCCCTACACGGCTCATCCTGGGTACCAAAAAGAATTGTCTTTGATGGCAGCTGAGCACCTCAGAGCTGCTCACTCACTGTCCCCCACAGGGGGATGCACTGGAGGTTTTTAGCTCTCTGTAGTCACARGATGGATACAGTCCCTCACAGAGGTATTTTCTGGGGTAAGATGAAGCACATGTGGAGTTAGAYATGTCCAGCCAAGTTCAATGTGGTRCATCCCACCCTCAGTGCYCAGCACAGASGRACAGGGAGCAGCATTCCTCTCTGTCCAGCTGAGGCAGTGTGAGGCCACAGGCAGGCAAACAAGGGGGGTTTGTATTTSGCATGACTTGGTCCTTTATTAAAAATAAATGCAAAATCRTTCAAAGTGTTTACAAGCAGGTGAGGGGGATCTGAGGAGTATAAAGATAGTCTGCTAAAAGTGACTTATGATTAAAARCCTATTTCCYCTTGGTWTTTGCTGRTGYTTCAGCTCAGTGAGCATGAGTGGGGGTAAGGAGTCTCAGACCAGAAGAGAAAGAGCTTTGAASTACTTTTGAAAGAGTATTGAACTACTTCTGTAACTGGAACGTTTGAAGCTACAATCCTAAGGGTCAAAAATATTGTGGAAAACTGAAATTAATGCCACTAATAAAAGAAACAATTTTAGTACAATAGTCAAAAATTCAGAACCATTAACAGATAGGGAAGTGTCTCCAAACTCTAGAGCAGGGCAACAGCGAGAAAATTTGTGGATTGAGTTAAGAACAGTTTAATAGATAAAAGGAGAAAAAAAACCAAAAACAAGACAATGAAAAACAAGCAAWGAAAAAGCAATCACTACCAGTCGACTGATGCCCAGACAGTCCCCAAGCAACAAACCCCTGCAACATCCCCATCCCCATCCCCACTTCTTACTGCTGAGTGGGATCTTGTCAGCACAGACTATCCCTGAGCTCAGCTGTCCCAGCTGTGCCCCCTTCTGCCCCTCGCCCACAACCAACCCCTCGCTGGGTGTCAGAGTGAGGAGCAGAGAAAGCCTTGGCACTGTGCAAACACTGCTGGGCACAGCAGGTGAGCGACGCTGTTTTAGTTACACATCCAAAACATGGGATTCTGTAGGATACTAAGCAGACAATGAACTCCATCACAAGTATGATGCAGTAGATCAGGATAACTTTTTTTTTATTTTAGTTTGGTTTAAAAAGCAGCTGGGACCGTGTCCTGTRTTTTGTGCATCTGTGGAATGGTGCAGCAATTCCATACTGGTGATAAGTTCAGAGGAGCAGCCAACAGGAATGTCTGGTTGAGTAGCTGGGTGACTGAAGTAAATGGTGCGAATGCCTTCCTCAGACCACAGGCCTTCTCTCCCTGACCTGCTTTAGAGGTGGGTGGGGAAAAGGAACCAAGGACACAAAAACAAGACCAGAACAGCCCTAAGGTTACACATTGCTCATAAGCTGTATTRGTACAAAGCAATGACTAATTCACCCAGAGTGTGACAGACTGGTACAATACTTTGCTTGTAGTTTACCTGGAGGAAACAAGACAACAAAAATCTCTGAAGAATTACAATTACAGGCAAATACCTTAAAYATAAGATTACTTGATAATATTGATAAGGGACAATTCATATTGTTTGTCCTTGAGTAATTCAACCTTAATTTAAGAAAAAAAAATAAACAATCAGAACATTCTGGTGATAAAAATACAAAAAAAGGTAATGAATTTTTGATGGTTCCACTTTATTGGTAACAAGTACAAACAAAAACTTGTACTTATGTCAAAAAATAAATGAGGTGCACACCGTTTTGYATCATGTTTGATATTTCTTTCACACAACTGAGGTGAGGTGACTCAGAACATCTCCAGCAACCCAACCTTTTTGCAGCTCTAAATCATTATAAACCAATTAACATAGATGTAAGACAAAGAAAAGATGATGAATGGCTCTTACTTTATGTAATATGCAAAACCATGAGCCAAAGAAAGCTGAAATATGACTCTGGTTGAATTTAGGTATTTCTTTCAAGCACATTTTATATTAGGAGAACTTCAGGGAACTTCATGGGTAACTGCCTGGAATAAAGCACGCTTCTCAGTGCTTCTCTTCTGTCTCCAGCCTTCCTGCTGCAACAACAACAGTAACTCAGGAAGAAGTGCCAGAATCTTGGGAAGAGAGAAAATGCCAGGCAAGAGAAAGTGMAAGTAAGGAGGAGTCTGGTGTTGAAACCATTCTCCAGAACAAAGTGAGTCCCGAGTTCTGGATGCTGCTCCTAAACAAAAATAATGACTGAAGGTTGCTTATTATACATAAAATATCATGGAACAATGTGGGCAGAATGTACACAGAATATTATGTACATTACACAGGATGTATTTTCAGTATATTTTTAGAGGATAGAGTTTTTATTTATATTTTGTATTTGGTGGAATGCAACACGCTGATCTATGACAAACAAGCTGTGCAACAGGGAGGGAGTGCAGGGGGAAAAGGAGGGAGGAAAGAATTTAACAGAAATAACTCCACTTAGTGTTTGACTGAGGGATGTAATGAAATCTGTTTGCTGTGCTAGCTGTCTCCAGATTGGGCTGTAATTACACCACAGAAGGAAGAAAGGTAGCTGAGTCTCAATCTAGATCATTTATGTAAACTCAGCCTTCTTGTCAACGGCATTCTCAGATTGCACGCGTGCAAACCACAAAAATCATCTCCTATGAACAAAACAGAGACGGTCGCARATTGCAGGCTTCTGATACACTTTATATGCTGTCTGTAATTGGACTTGAAAATTCAACACACTGAGGTTCAAAACTTCTCCAGTATTTTCTGCATTTCATTCAGTGCGGTGACTACTCACAGAGAAGCATTCCTGCTTTCTTTTTGCCAAAGGCTGATGTCTACCCTTACAAATTAACATTTATTTGGCTTAAATTAACACAAGTGTCACAAACATAGGAAATTATTTTGTGCAAGACTCTGTTGAAACAAGCTGCTGGATATGAGGGAGGGATATTCTCTCCCCCAGAAGAGTTGGAAAAATCTCATTCTTTGACCCAGAGAACATTTTACATAGGCACAGTATAAACTCCAGGCACTCAGTTCCCTTAACAGAGCCAGATTAATATTTGATTAAATATTTTAAAGCTCCTACTTACCATGCTTGACACATTTTCTCAGCAAGTTTCTCAAATACAGAACTCATTAGGCACAGGGTAATTTTACATTTGAAAACATAAAAACAGTGTGAGGAGACATGACTGCGTGCAGAGAGGGATTTTCCCCCATTAATCCCCCGAAGTGCCCTTCCCCTTGGATAAGGGTATGTTAATTCCCAGCTTCGGCAGCTCACTCTCTCTGGGCAGGTTTGAGTGGGTTTCTCGTGACACCTGGATCTTCACGCCCTTCCATCCCTCCCTCCTTCTATCCCTCCCTCTGGCAGGAAAACCACCGGCCTCCGCCCTGGCGCCGTCCCCGCTGGTGCCCAATCAATACCGACTTATTTCCTGTCCATTTGCTGAGGTCACGGAAACGGGACTCATTAATTATTTCTACCGGTGCAGCCTCAAGTGYGCTTCTGGCACGACAAGCGAAAACCGTCTGTGACCTTTCTTCTTTCCTCTCCCCAATTTTGCTGGTGGCGGCGGCAGCGAGCGCGCGTTCCTCTGCCGGGATGGGATGAGGTGATCAGAGGTGTGAGGCAGCATCGGTGTCCCCGCCGGGTCGCTTCCACCTGTGGAGGGAGAGATGCTCCTCCTGGAGCAGCAGCTCAGGGAAACCTGCTCATGGCGTAGACGATGTTGGCCAAGGCGTCCCTGGCCTCCGAGGGAGGGAAACGCTCCAGGGCTGTCAGCGCTCTGTTTCCGTGGCAGCGGCAGAGGTCGATGGCAGAAGTCACACCTTTGCCAGCCTTGATCGCTTCCWGCAGCTGTTGGAAAACAGGCACATCGGGATGTCAGCAGTGCACAATTCTCTCTGGGAGCACAGGGCTTCCACCGCTTCTTCCCAAAGTAAAGGCAAAATTGAAACCATCAGACAAAGCCCTTAAATCCACTCAGCTGCTGTATTTAGCACCCCACTGCAGCGAAACTGTGTGTAATTTAAACTACACCACCCATTACCTCATCATCTGAAAGATGTGCTCCCCAAAGGGCACACTTATATTAAAAAAAAAAAATAAAAAAATCTGGGCATTTCATAGCTCAGCCACTCCCTGAGAGCTTTTGTGCAGAACTGGAAAACCAGCCATTCCCTCGCACTCTTGTTTTCTGCAGTGAAAACCGTCAATTTATGAACACCCATTCCATCCCCTGCTTTTGGAAAACAGCATAGGTCAACACAAGTGGAACGACTGTATTTTGTAATAGAAGTTACTATTTATAAACCATGTGATTATATTGGTCACAGTGGACAAAGGCAAATTTTGTCAGTAAAATGTGGTAAAATATCATATTGAACTTATGAAAACTCCATCTTATCAGTAAGGCTATGGAATTTTACAAAGGTTCAGTGATAAACCATATGAAAAAGAAAGTATTTTCATGGAATAACTGACATTTTATGGCAAGTTGCTAGAAAGATTTGGCACCTAAAAATCTTGGGGAAATGAGGGCTTAAATTTCCTATAATACTAACGAAATTGACAAAAACCCCCATGTTCTTTTCCCCATACCTGAACTTAGGAGAAGCTCTAAATTGCTCTTATTAAGGGCCTTTTTTTTTTTTTCTTGAACAGCATCATGAGACCGTCATGAAACACTATTACATTTTCTACTTTAAAATACAGGTATTCCCAGACCAACTCCAGCCTGATGCCTCATGCCAGAGCCTGGGAATAAAGGCCAGGTGGATCTTTGGGATTTGCTTATTCCTAACGCACTACAGCATTTCATGATCTTTAACATGACCCACCTGGCTTTCACAATGGTCTTACATCACTGTAGCAGCTTTTTTAAAAAAACTACTTTTCTTGGATACAGGTACCTACAGATACAGTAACAGACTATACAGGGTTTTCTAAGTCATGTTTTCCATCAATACACAGCTCAGTGCCTGAATTCTTTTAAAAATACATCAGTATGACCTTCCTTACTTAGTTTAAATAGTGTATATATATATATATAACTTAGATATGACCAAATTGTAAGTCACCACTTTCTATACATACTTGCATTCATACAGAATGAATGATGCCTCTTATCTGAAACTAAAAGTGGATTTATTATCTGTATTTAAAGATTAAATTAGCTGAAAGCATATTACAGCACTTGAGTGTTCAAGTCCCAGTTCATAAAAATTTTATTCTYCTCTTCAGCTGGAATCTTCCTGCASTCTGTGCTGGAAAGGAACTTGCCCGAAGGCATAAATGCATCACATAGCTAATTCAACATGTCTCCTAATGAGTGGGAATCAGCCACATTTCCAGGGCTCAGCAGCAAAGGTGAGCATAGGTGAGATGAGCTGCTCTAGCAGCATGCAAAGGTGTCCTTTCCCCCTTCTTTAAGGCACAACCCTGCGAGACAGTGGAACCCACACACCCTGAAGCAAACTGCTGATTTGCTAAAGCTTATTAAGAAGGATTAGCATACCTTCTAATACTCATGGAAGTGTATGTTGGGATGTAAAYAGGAAAGAAAATAGCTCCTAGAAAGTCTTCAAATTGGTCAAAAGCCAGAGGAGCTTAGCTTAGGCATTTTTATAGTCACATATATGTACCATGACTTAGTTGAAAGAGCAGAGTCTGGAAAGGGGGAGAAYCCTAACACAAGGACACAATCCATTTACACGCTTGTCTTGTGTAAGCCCTCAGACACACACACTGCTTTGAAGCCAATACAATCGCAAAGCTCGTGTCAGACTATAGGCAGAGAAATCACTACACAAAAATCAGACTAATCCGCTGTCGAATGTTTCCCAGCAAAGTTCAAGGAATGTCAAAATGGAAAATACCTGCTTATATGGCAAGCTCCTTCCCCAGCTTTTCAGTTAGAGATCATCCTGTGTAATGAACAATTTATAGCCCTCAAAAACTTACCTGTTTCATATTCCATTTGCAGAAGCAGCTGGCAACTCGAATAAGCATACACAGAGGCAAACCAGTCTTAGCTAATCAGACTGTATGCTACCTCTATCTCTGCTGAGGTTGTAAAAGGGAAGAAAGAAGTACAAATTTGTCTTTTTGTAGTGGGATAGTTATTAAAGAAATACAGGAGATAACTCCATAAGAAACCAGGCTTCAGTAGCCCTGCTGTATGCAAAAGCGCCCTAATTTAAGACTGCAGCTGCACTCTTGGYTGTATTACAGTTACATTTTCAGACTCTCTYAAATTTTGAGCTTCAATAATTTTATGTAATAAACTTCAYAAACTAAAGATGCAGAAGARAAAAAMMCCCAATACATCCAGTATAGATGTATTATTTTAAAATTTGGATAGAAGCAGCTAATTTTTACAGCAAATGAACAAAAAAAGCTTTTGTTACTTTATAAAYTTTACTTAGGCTGCTTCATTAATATCTTCTAAATATAAGAATCCGCTCTTTTAGTCTCTACTTATATGGCAACATTTTGTGCATATTTCCACTTGTTGGAACAATTTAATCCACACAACCTTCTACAGAATGATATTCAGTAATTAAAACTGAATACAAGTCAAAACACAGATTGCTTAGCTCCACTTTTCTCCAGTTGAACTGCTAGATATGCTGGAATACTGCATTTTTACTTTTAAGCTTTTGTTCAGACCATTGGCATTAAAGCCCTACTTCATTCTAGAAGTGCCAAGACTTTGAAAAAATCACCAACTGGGTTTTGGTTATTTAAATTCAACTTAAAGAATAGTCTTGCAATAGCACAGCCAAGTTTAGGCTCAGATGAGATGTGATCTCCTCCACAACGTATCTGCACTATTTTGCAATCTGTGCCCTTGCAGATACTCAAAATTTAACCGAACAAACCCATACTGGCTCTGCTTTGAGCAAGAGGCTGGACCAGACATCTTCCAGAGGTCCCTTACAACTTCAATTACTGTGTGATGCTGTGAATAGAGTTCAAAGAACCATGTTTCCCTGTCCGTTTGTTTTAAAAAGGCAAAGAGAGGATTTCTCATCCATACCACAGAGGTGAAGGATTTGCCTTTCAGACCAACTGCTCTGGATTGCTGTCGGACAGAACAGCTGGTCTGAGGGCAGTAAGAGGTCAAAGAGGCACGTTAGGAACTGCTGGATTTTGGAGACTGAAGAACTAAAGAAGTCAAAAACTAAGCAGGTGTTCAACTACAAAGTCAACTAATTCCAAATCTTCTCTGCTGAGACATTTTTGCTTCATGAGSCAAAGGAAGAAGACTCCTTTCACAGAGTGCTACCTGTAGGGAGCAACAAATCGGGGGCGGGGTGGGGTGGGAAGATTCACTRAATATATGGTGAATATTTTGGCTATGGTAGACTTTATATGCAATAGGAGAAAGAGAGCACTGAAATTCCTAATATTCTTTTAAACAGTCCAACTTAGGATTAATTATTTCAGTGGCAAAATATCAAAAGTAACTTCAGATTTTTTGATGCTATTTCAGAAGGATGATCCTAAACCAGATAGTTTGTTATACTGAAATCTTTGAACATCATGCATTCTCTCTGATCCTAAAGTGAGCTAAAACATTCTGTTTCTGAAGTGCACAGTACTTGCTGAAACAAAAAGAAAACCCARAACTTCAAATCTAAATTGATTTGTGGCTGAGTGACTGAATAATGSTCTAAGTGTCTGCAGTGTTCTGCACTGGCTTTTCTAAATTTGTTTTCTCTTTTGTGGGAACAGCATGCTCAATAAGYACTGGTGTTTTAGACTGCTGAAATGTTACCTTAAAGTACCAACATATTTCATAGGTATTAGATCAATTTTGTCAGTTTTTTCCTTTGTTTTCTAAAGAARCAMTTCATAATGTTTCAGSATCCACTCTTGTGGCTGGACATAGRGTTGARCTCTTTCTTCYCAAAAAAWCCTGGACAATAGTTTATTTGCATCACTTCATAACATCATAGGATTTAAATTTATTTTTTTTAAATCGTTGTTGGCTATATGCAGCATGATATGAGAGATGAAATTGGGGCAGTACTTATCCAATATTTTCTTAGAAACTTTTTCTGTACAAAAGGTAAAGAAATGCATCTTCAAAGGGCCCAAACACCCTGCAGAAGCCTCCATTAGTAGAGCAGAATTTATTTTCTTTATTCATCTGWCAAGAAAAAYTTTCTTTTTTTTTTTCTTTTCTTTTTATTTCAAACTGAAGCCCAMACTATATATAGGATGAGACCAAATGTGGAGAGGGTCGTCCCCAACATTAGAGGAAAGACAGCCAGCTTCCAGGGAACACTGCTGTTACACAGCTCTTAGAATATGCTTTGCCAAAAAATTACAAGCCATCCCGAGACACTGATTGATTGTACAAACTCTTGGTTATTTTGGAAGGGACATCRATGCCTTTGCATGTCTTTCACAATGAACTTAACAAGACCCACTAGTGTTTAAATCTAAACAATGGCAGTTGTGAAGACTCTTTACCAAAAAGCATAATTTTCTTAAATCCCACTAAAGCAAATAGTGATTGTTAATTGTCATCTTAGCACAAGCAATCAACTTTGAATTTATGTTAAAACATGTGATGATTATTTGCTTTAATGAAACAAAAGTTATGCTGGATTCTCACCCCAAAGAAGCGGGAAAATACTCACTGATTACAAACAAAAATGCAACTGATTGTTGGTACTGGGTGTACACCTTAATAATTCAGATATTAATTAAAAAATAAAAGAAAATTGCTACATCTGAATGGTTTTGGATGGTTTTGTAATACTACTAACRCATCTAAAAAAACCCATCTTCATTAAATCATTGACTATGTTGTGTTTCCTATTATACATAACAAAAGGAACTAATGGCAGTGGTTGCTCCAAAACAAACAAGACAAATCTTCATGCAAAACCAACATGGGTCATAAACATCTACAAACAACAACCCTCTGTTTTTAACTCTTTGCTACATTTCAGGAGCRAGAGAGTGAACAGTCTGTGGCCTCCAATGCTGTGACACAGCTCAGGATGATTCCTTGGCRTGTAAAGAAAGCCACGGGATGACTGTCACACACATGACAGGGCTGCAGCCCTGCAGCCAGCACTGCACAGGATGGCTGCTCTCACCAGGCAGAGTGCAGTGGTGAAGGGCAGCCCCACCTCTGGCTGGCACAGCTGGATGGCACCGTGCTATTGTCATYTATCAGCCACACGGCAGTGGGATACTGCTGAGAAACCTCCTTACAACCAAATGTGACCTTTCCCATTGTCCTTCTCTCTTTCTTAACACAGGGAAGTCAAGACTTTAGTGCCATGCAGTGCATGAACAGCTGGATCTACCCCATCCTGACTCACGCTCTTCCAGCACTGCACAAACTCAGCTCCCGGTGTTCATGCAGAGCACAATATTTCATATACAAACTAAGAAAGCATGTCACAGCATACTATGCCACACTTCCCATGACAGACTGGATGAAAGGCCTCTATAACAGACAGCAGAGCAAATGGACTGGGCTACAGTAAAAAAAAAAAAAATGCTACAACCTCTTCCATGTGATTTAATTTAACTCTTCTGAGTATTTCATTTAGAAAAGTAACAAATCCTGGCAYAGCATAGTCATTGGCTGCAAAATACAGGATTTATTTCCTTATTTAGTATTAGTTATAATTTTTCTACAGCCTTGGCAGGAAAACAAGAATTATTCCCAGCTTACTAATTTCTGCTACCAGTTGTGCCTTTTTTACACTAATTTAACAAGCTTGTACAATGCTAAGCACCATTAAAGCCTTGACTTTAGCAGAGAGTTTGTAATCAATATTATCAAGTGGTAATGATTAAATTGAAAATTTCAATTTGCTGCTTGAGAATTACACAGTTTATTTTGCATGCAAGGCAGATATAAAATGGATATAAGCTTTTTSATTATAAGAAGTCTGAGATTTTTGCCACATACAAATGAGGGTGACAGGAGGAAAGTTGCTGTTTCTTTCAATGATRTAACTGAAATTTGTCCCTGCCATATATTGGTACTTTCCCTTTTGTTATCCAAGAAACACCACAAAACAGCTGAAACAATTTTTTCATCTCTGGAAGAGACTTTCAAATACCACAATGATGGATCAATAATTTGTCTGGATRCGGTGTGACAGTACAGGAAAAAACAGAGTGAAACACTCTAACACTAAGGTGAGAAAATATATTCAGAAACACAGACCTTACTTCTTCTGTGATACCAAAATCTTTCTGATAAAAAGATTGAGCAAAGTTGGGAGGAAAAAAAACTTAAAAAATTTTGCAGAACCTTATTGACATGACAGTCTCAGACCTAATKAAATTCATAGAAAGAATTTCACTTCTATGTTTGTGTCAGTGACTTCATTAAACTGGCTGATACAATATATTTTTGTATAAGGTATTTTTTGTCAGTGAAAAAAAACCAAGGGTACCCTTTTTGTATAATATGTATCAAAAGAACAATTCAAAATTCTTAAGCAGCTTCAAAATTGAAATGAGACTTTTGCCTTTTAAAGATGCACGTTAAATATGTGGATCTCAATTTCTCCAATTTACCTTCATTTTTTTAATTGAAAATGCATCAAGCAAAGTAAAACTCTTAAGTAGGCTATATAGCTAACACCTTTTGTATACATATATTTATGAATTTAACTAAAGGAACAATATTTCWGTCTCAAGTAAGTAGAACATGGAARTTCATAATAAAAACCAAGAGAAGAAAAATAACGGAAATTTGCAAAAGTGCTACAGCTAGTTTTGGTGATCTTTGCTTTGACAAAATAAAAGAGGAAATACTTTGAAGACTCAAAGAGAAACAAGCCCCCAGATTTGATTAGGAACACTGAAGTAATTGTATCAACTGAGCAGAAAGATGAGAAGGGWCTGTGATGATGAGAAGAAAAGACTGAGCAATGTGCAAAGCACTGACTGTAGTGTTGCAGGAGAAAAGAAAACACAGCAAAGAGAAAAAAAATAAATACTAATTTGTACAGCACAACATGCCCTCTAATTGACTGTGCTGGTCAAGTTATTCTGCTGGGGAGAGCTACAGGTTCCTTAGCATGGATACAACTAATGACCAATTTTACTTTAAACCAACAAACATAGAAAAGACAGACACGATAGCCTAGTTTTTTGAAACTGACTTGTTAAAAAAAAAGAAGGAAAGAAAAGCAAAACAAAGGAAAAAATAGCTGATTGCCATTTGAACTCACAAAAACCACACAGAGTTTTTCAATAACATTAACAAACTCATAGTATCTGTGTTTGTACAAGACATAATAACCCAAAGCTAGCAAAAATATCGTGCTTTCCGGCAGAAGTCAATTGCTTAAAATACAAAACCTGAACGGCTTTCTCTCCTTTACCTTTTATTCAAGTATTAGAAGTTTTTAAATTTCATGTGAAGGATCCAAGATATGAAAGTATTTCAGTCAAAACAAAATATTCTGACATGTTTAATTAAGTAAAACAAATTCAGATGCTTTTCTTTCACCTTTGTCTTTTTTTTTTTTTTAAGTATGGAAATAACATTGTGTGAATCACAAGTTGTAACAATTCAAAGAAGAAAACCCATTCTAGACTTGCAAAATTAAGTAGCCTATCTTAAACGTTCACARGAGTGTCCCCAAGATGCATCTGAAGAACAAATTTAGTGCTCTAATGATGGTTTAGAAGAAAGAAAACTGATACAACTGGAGCTGTTGTAGAGAAAAACCTAAAAGCACTATGATTTTAAATAGCAAAGTAAGGTTGTGATCCTTCTTAGAACATAAGAGGAAGGGCAGAGAGGTTTTTTAATAATCTAAACTGCAATTTTTCTTAATACGGAATAATTATACCAATCTGACCAGTACTTGTGTGCTAGCATTCCGTAGGAGCAACAATCAGAGCTGTAACACTTTTCAGGCTTCACTTCAAGAGGCAATTCACAATCTTGCTTGTGGCTCAGTAATTTATACATTATTTCCACCCATGCTGGAGATAATTGACCAGACTTCATGATCTACTTGAGACTCAGAGTAAGTCAGGCTCCTGATCAGTGAGCTGGGGACACAATGTCATCTTCTCTCTCCACCACAAGCATGCTGTGCTCCAACATGTAACCTTGGGGACCTTTACAAGGTTTATTTAACAAGGGGAACCTTGTCAGCCACCTTCTGCAGCCCTTTAGGAGTTTTGAAGTGTCCCCAGTTACTTCCAGTAGTTAARCTGCTTAGTTCAGGTTTGCCTTTATTATAGAGAAGTAGCAGACACAGTGCTGTAAAGGTGTAACAGACACTGGAATAAACCAAATTACTGTAAAACATGTGTATGTGTATATTTTTTAATAGATGGCATGGAAGTAAGGTGAGATTAAAAWAAAAAGTCAGCAGTGTACTCTACCAATAAAGAGAGACCACTGGATAGGACCTAAGCTGCAAATGGTTCCAGGAAAAAAAGAGACTGCAAAAGCCATCAGAAGCCTGGTTTCAAAATAGAGTTTGGGAAAATAAATGGGAGARATGACAGTAAAAATGATTATTCAACAACTACATTATTAAATTACTATTATTAGATACATTATTAAAATACTATTATTAAATAGCTACATTTCACAGTTACAGTACAGCTGTCTGTGAGTGGCTTTTTAAAATCAAGAAATTACATGAGCTATTCTCCCTTCTTTCACATGCACACACACAACATACAATCTAGCTTTAATAAGGAAGATTCTCTCAACTGTCAGGAACACCCTTGAAAATATTTTTTAAAATGTTAAAAATGAGATATAAATGTAATTTTACCAACCTTCTTATAGTCCATAATATTTCCTTTTCCTTGTGCCTTAAAAAGAAAGAGATTTTATATCAGACACTACATACTACAAATCAGAGTTGCAAGAATAAAGAATGCAATTAAATGAGCTACTACTTTAAACATAACTTACTTTCTTTAGGAATCTGACAGAGAAAACCCTAAAATACAACCAAATGTGTTACTAGCTTATACAACATGGTTCTGTTTCAGATGAGAACTGCAGATACTCARTGTAATTYTTAGGCTTTTTTATYATGACTTCTAGTTAAACATTTGGTGAATCCAAAATGTTTTGGTYTTAAGAAATCTTGCTGTTTGCATTAATTAATCTCTCCCATGAGACTCTGAAATAAACTGTTCYTCCTATCAGCAATAACAGGAATATTTTCAACAATATTTTCTTTAAAGAGAACTCTCTGTATGCCTATACTGACTTGTACAAGGCAACAGTCTAGAGCTCTCAAAATGGGCTGACCCTGTCAGAGCTGTTACACCCAGGTTAGAGGTGCTTTTGACTTAGAATTGGATTTAAGTATCAGCATCACCTTTTGAGTAAGCAACAGATAAATACAATCTGTACCTCCCAATACATTCACAAATAAATAMAAATACATTTTAAATTTCTTCTTGCCCATATGCAGACAAATACATAGWCAAACTTTCTGAATTTTGTCACAGCATGATGTACAAGATGTCTTTCTCACTCAATGGCAGTGCTCTGACAGAACCAGAATATTCCCACTTAACCAACCTAAAAGCCTTTCCCTGAGATCAGATCCAGCTGTGCCATTATCACTTCAAGCAACTTCAGCTCTTCTCTTTTCAGGCACATTGAGGAAAAAAAAAATCACCTGTCTCTTTCCCTCTAACTTCCACAAGGGAAGACCACAAAACTCAGTTCTTCTGGAATGTGTCTCCTGAAAAGAGGTAGATTAGGATCACTACCTCTCCATGTCCTCTGTGGGGACTTCAGAGATCAGCCCAAAGGAGCAGACCAACCAAGAAGAAGAGCTGAAGCCTGCACTGAGGAGGAACACTAYGTGGCAAGCACAGCTTTAAAGAGATGTTGCCAAGCTGGCCCAGACGTGGAAAATTAATTTTTGTAAGGGAGGAAAAATAAAATAGAGAAAAGAACTGACAAGAAACAAAGCAAATTGAACATGAAGGAGAACAATAGATAACAGAACTGATTCCTCTGAAGGAGAAAGGGGACTGATCCACAAAACCTCTTTGCTTCTCTCTTTTAGTCTTCTCAAGAGCCAGCTTTTCTGGAACGCACATTGAAAAAACAGCCTGGTAGCATTTGGGAGTAGCAAAACCACTGCCAATAACTGCTTCCTTATTTGTGTATTCTCAACTTCTTTGATTTGCCAACTTTTATTCACCTGATTGGATATTACAGCTTCTTCAAAATATATCTAGCAATTATATTGTATATGAGAACATACCAGAAACCTGTTCCTTAACAAGTAATTGCCTATATGAAGATTCACACTGCAGCAGAAAACCTGACATTTTTTGAGGAAGATGCTCTTCAGACACGTCTCACAAGAGTGGTGAGCTCAGTGTGCCTCCTCCTGTGCTTATTCTCATTACCAAAAGCAAGAGCATTTTCTCCWGATCTGCTCCTGGTCAAGCATTGAAGTCAAGCATTCAAGTCAATGGCTGTTGTGCTCCTCCAGCAGCAACCTCATCCAATCTGGCTCCTAAGCCTGCTTTACTACAACTGCACAATCGCTCTTTTTCTTTTTTTATCCTCACAGTAGCAGTTTGACTCTCTTTTTCTGACCCTCATCTCAGACACAAAGAGGTTTTTTTTACCTTTTACATCAGACTTGCTCAGTTGGTTAAGCTTCTGACAGGGGCTGAGTGTATATATATGTATAGTGTATGTACAAATATAAATGGATGAAGTACAGTAGTACCAGTAGATAGCAAATTCTTTTGCATAGTACATGTCCCTTGGCACYCCYGCCTGCTTCACAGAGAACTGCTTCATTGTTTCTGTAGTGCCCATTTTTGGTATGAAAATTTAGTAAGCAGACAGACGGCACCCCTGGAGTCCTGCAACCTCCTCTAGATTCTGCAGATGGGAAATTGTTTCTAAGCTTCCACACACTGTGCTGTGGAAATGCCATTATTCTCCAACTGCAATAATCCAAATCCATTTACAGTCAACTCACATATGAGCCTTGTGTTGTGACTGTTGAAATCCAAAATTCCTCATCAGGCTTTATGAACTACCAGTGCCTAATTTCAAAATGACAATAGGTTTGCTTCATTTTAAGATCCCCCAACTCCATACCATGGTAAGGCTGTAGCTTCTGCATATACTTTTCAAAATTTCATGGCTGAGGGACTATGTCTCTTGCTTGCATTATGTGAAGGCAGGTTAGAATGCAGCATCAGGCAGAGGTTTAGACTCCATATCCTGTACCTGATTCCTGCTTTCAAACCAGCAAGGAAAAGAGCCATCAGCAATCAYATCTTGAATAAATATCCTTGCACACAGCCAGCTTCTTAGTGAAGGCACCAGTCTTTCTAACAAACCGTATAACAACAAGTATAAATTTCCAAATGGCCTTCATCACTGTTGTTTAGACAGACAATACATGTCCAACTGATGCAGGAACTTAACAGAATGCTTAATTTTTGCCATTTTGGTGCTTCCCCTCCCCCCTTCCCTTCTTGCTGTGTTCTACAGCTATCTCTTTGTGCTTCAGCAACACCCAGGAAGCTATTTGTGGACCTGAATTCTGCTGTGGTATATGACAGTTATTTACCATATATTTATTTCATTTTTACTGCTTTCCACATGTAAAAACCAGAGGAAAAAACCAGCAGAATAAGAGAATGAAGAATAAGGGCATCAGACAGCTAGATCTCAAAACTATATTGTGGTGGTCAGAAAGCCAAATCCCACAGATCCTTCCTCTTTCTCTGAAAATTACTGCTCCCAGTGTCATGCTGGCAGAAGGAAACGCGTGCCTACTTTTCAACCACTGAGACAGTCCAAGTTCTCTGCTTTGAGCTGCCAGTGAAAGTAGCTTTATGCTAAGACATGGGACTGCACAAGCAACACACAGTAACAGGCATAGGCTCCATGCAAATGAATCTGCTTGTTACACTGACATACAAAAGTCTGACAGAGCTTGAGTGTCAGATYCCTAAATTTCCCCTTGTTTAGTGTGATGAGAGAGATAAGCATTGGAGAGCATAGCTAATTTTTTTGTTAACTTCTAGGTTCTTCTGCAGATTGAAAGTATAGATAGGAAGAGATAAACAAATGGCAAAACCAGGAAATTCTAAACAGCGCTTTAATTTACCTCTCTAATCTGTTTAAGCCATGCTTCCCTTCCAAGGAATTCCTGATGAAGGATTGCAGGAGCAGAATTCAAACTGAAGGCCATGGTGTCGCTAGAACTTTCTTTAACAAAGGGCTGCAGGTCTGAATGTAGCTGAAAAAGAAGAACACAGGTTCAATTCTCAGGAACAGTCTATACCTATCCACCCACTCACCAAATTGAGGTCCATATCCTGATTCTGTATCTACCCACCACTTCCTACTTTGCTGGCACTTTTTCAACTTTGGGGGAGGGATAGAAAGATGTTGAAAGCAGTGGTGGAAAGATGTGATRAAGAAAAGCATGGAGAGGGTCTGCAAAGACACAAATAAAGGACAGCTTGCAGAGCTTGGCAAGCCATGGGACACAGCCAGGTAGGAGACTGTGGAGTGGCAAGAAACAGAAAAAATATAAAGGAGAAAATAATCCATTCTTTGGTGGGAAAAAGATCAGGTTTTAATCTGTGCAGGGTACTACACAGGAAGCAAATGCAGTATGACCCTATTTCTCACAAAGTAAATGCTACCTAGCTAGGAGCTTTCTATGAAAATTACGCAATCCCTAATACACAACCATGTGCCAATGGTGAATATATTAATATTAAAGCATACACAAAATATTAAGGATATAACTGCACTAGAAGTAATTTACTGGTAGAGTTGTACCTAGTAATAGCATATAGTGGCACTTCCGTGGCAGTAAAATTGTGCTTTATAAAACCACTTCCTTCTGCAGGAACAAGAAACTGTGTAAATCAACTCAGCTGAAGCAGATGGAAGGTCTGTCTGCCTGTCTCAAGCTACATCTAACCTTGCAAGTGCAGTACAATAGAAGCAGATCTTTGTTTTCCTCKGGACTAACTCTAGCTGCTGGGTGAAAGTCTTTCAGCAGAGGTCAGAGACCTTCTCCAGGAAATCCTACTGTGTAGAGCTGTAGGTGCTCCTGCCCAGATACAGTGACTTCCCTCCTTATCTTCTAGCTGCCCTCTGTGGAAGTTWCCTCCACAGCAGGTTATTCAGAAGGGATATGCCTCAGCCCATGCTGCTGCAGACAGATGAGCCTCACAGTACAAATYTCTGCATGGAGGCAGCCAAGACCCAACACTGGGGAGTGAAAGGCTGGAGAGCAGCACTGTGGAAAGGGACCAGGGTGTCCTGCTCCRTGGCAAGTTGAACATGGGTCAGCAGTGCCCTGGCAGCCAGGAGGGTCAGCCCTGTCCTGGGGGACATCAGGGACAGCATCGCCAGCTGGACAAGGGAGGGGATTGTCCTGCTCTGCTCTGATCTGGTGTGGCCTCACTTCGAGTGCTGGGGGCAGCTTTGGGTGCCACAATATAAAAAAGGACAGCAAACTATTGGAGTGTGTCCAAAGGAGGGCTATGATGATGCTGAAGGGTCTTGAGGGGAAGCTGGATGAGGAGCAGCCGAGGTCACTTGGTCTGTTCAGCCTGGAGGAGACTGAGGGGAGACCTCACTGCAGTTACAACTTCCTCATGTGGGGAAGAGGAGGGGCAGGCACCGATCTCTTCTCTGGGGTGGCAGCGACAGGACCTGAGGGAATGGCCTGAAGTTGTGCTTGGGAGGTTTAGGCCGGATATCAGGAAAAGGGTCTTCACTCAGAGGGTGGTTGGGCACTGGAACAGGCTTCCCGGGAAAGTGGTCACAGCACCAAGCCTGACAGAGCTCAAGAAGCGTTTGGACAATGCTCTTGGATACTCTCATGGTGTGACTCTCGGGATGGTCCTGTGCAGGGCCAGAAGTTGGACTCGATGATCCTTGTGAGTCCCTTCCAACTCAGCTTATTCTGTGACATGCTTCCTCCTGCAACTCCTGTTAATGGGACAGTGGGTTGAGGAAGAATGAAGGAGCAGAAAAGGTAAAGTTTTAAGCTGCTGCAGGAAGACGTGCTAGAGAGACGTTTAACAGAGCCTTGAATGTAATGAGCTATGTTGCCTGGTGTGTGATTTTGCTCTTCTCATACCAGCAGTTTCTGCAAACATCCTGACACCATCCAGCAGCCAAATCTCTCAGCACTCACCTGCTGGTCAAAGTCTACAGCATAAGTCATGCAGTATATAGCAGAGCTCACAAGCAACACATCTTACAAGCCTTTCTGTATTTAAGCTCCCAGAACAAAAGGAAAAGTGTACCTTATGACTCATAGACATATGCTTCCCATACTGGAATGCCATGTCCTGGATCTCAGCGCTGTGCTTTGCTAGCTCCATTGCAGCCTGGCAGCTCTTTGCCAGCAAGGCACTGTGKGACAGGAAAACTTGCTCCTTCCACCTCGATATGCCAATATCATCTGTGAGACAGTTCTCCTGAAAAGGAAACAAAGGCAAACATGAAAACACCAAAACTGCACATGTGTCAGCCTACAGAAGTTAATAGTGTGGCACAGGTGAGTAATATGTGGTAAATAACAAAAAACCCTGGTGCCATGGTGCCAAATAAATTGTTTTGGAGATGAATAGAGGAAAGTATCAGAATAAATATGCTGGCAGCTTCAAACAAAAACTTTTTTCATTTTCTTCTCCAAAGTACAATGCAAAGTATATAGAGCTGTCAACAAATTCAAYATAAATCTTTTTTAAATGACTGTATCATCTCACTGAACACTGGGGAGCAAAAAMCCCCACCAACCAAAACTCCAAACCCAAAAAATATAACCCCCAGAGTACACCTGCACTTCAGCCAATTACTAAGAACCAACAATCCCAAATGAACTTGAGAAGTCCCTACAATTTCTCCTCTGTAGTCAAGAAGAAAACAAATTATAAAAGATGTTAAAAATCCTTATAGACTGCATTGAAAAAATGAAGAGSTGTGATGGAGGACTTGTACCTCCTCTGCTCTCATATTAAGGATGAGGAATGACTGGAATTGTAAAAAAAAAATAAAGTTGCAATTTAGTAGTGTCAGGGATTAATTTTCTCAGAGGCTGATAGACATCTCAGTGATGCCTCTATTGAACTTTACCTCCTTCACTGTAAGGTCAGAGATGCTCAATCTGTCTCAAAGTCTTTTGTATCCAAAGYATTAATCTGGATTACTTTCCACGGTGCTTTAATTAACACAAATCAAATACTTTCTCCCAAAATCCAAATTCAGCTGCCATTCCTTTGATTCAAAAGGTGTTAATATGCCACTAATTCACTCATGTCTTCAAAGCTAGACATTAATCTGTCTCACATACTGTCATGCCTTTAGGTACACTCTAAGGAGGGGAAAAAAACTCAAATCAGAAAATATCACAGCTGCTTTGTTTAGAAAAAAATATAATCAGTAATGAGAAGCTTCAGAAAAAAATTGAGGGCACAAAGATGTTAAAAATTCTGTAATTTCTCAGTTCAGCTAAATCTGTAACATACAGTAAGCCAAAAGGTATTCTTTAAAAGAGTAATATAAAAACCCTTCTTAYATAACAAATCTTTTTCCTCAAAGAAATGTCAATTAAATTACTTAGAAATGAGCAAGAAGTAATTCTGTGTGACCCTATAGTTTTCTAGCAAGGTATTATCTGTCATGAAATCAGTAACAAATGAAATAGAATCCATCCGTTCAGCTCTAATTTTCCTCCCTTATGGATATCACCCAGAAGTGCTGTGTTACAAGGGAGAGGATAATTTGAGACTAATGGAAAAAGTAGGAGAATTCTGCAATGCCAAGTAACACAGAGCTGTATCAAAATGCCTWTGCTTTCAGACATACTATTAAGTTATACAAGGAAAGTGAAGAACAGAGAAACCACATGTTTGYTATTATGCATATGACAACTTACAAAGTCAAGCCTAAACTTTCCTCTGTTTGAGTATTTTTGTTTTAATATCTTAACTCAGCCCAGAGCATGTGCAAATTCCCATGACTGGCAAAATGTCAAAATGAGCATTTAATTCAAGTAGTTTCCTATATATCAAGTCTCTTTTTTTTCCACTCAGATATAGGTCAATTTATTTTAAATTTAAAATSAGGAGCTGTTGGAAGACGAAACACAATCTTTTCCTTAACAACCAATCTGCTCASTGAAAAAACAGTATTTACTAAAATTCGCTGGATGATACTGAAAATTGGCAGTGAGTTTTATAATCATTTGTTTTACATCCAAATAAGAAAAAAATAACCTAGAAAGGTATCCTRAAACAATTTTGAGGTTAAAGAAATCTTTCAGAAGACCCATAAGTTGAAAATTTTTGATTTCTGGAACCTTTGAGTAGCAAGAGAAATGCAGACATAATCCAATATCAGCTGAAGGAACTGAAGAASCTTAAACAGTCATTGCAACTCAGTGTATACAAAAAAAATGAAATCTATGAGTTGTTACAAAATTAAATTCTTAAACAAGTTTGAATTTTGTTAAGATTGAAAATATGGCAGAAAAAGTTACTGTCTACTACATGAACATTACATAAAAGCTTCAAGCATCAAAAAGAGCATCTAACTTCAAAAACCCACAAGAATTGAACATGTATTTAAAGATATAGCATTGAAATCTTAAAAACACAAGTATTATAAGTGTCTGGGTTACAGACACAAGCCAGCTGTAAAAAGGCATTATGTCTATATGGATGTGCTTTAGCATGAAACTTGCATGCCAGAATTTAGCTGATTTTAATCACAGAACTTCTTATGACCACATACCCCTAAARCCTTTGCTGCTCTAGACAGAGGCAGACACATCCTTTCTTCAGCAAAATTGTCCAACAATGCCATTTTCCCCCAAGCTTAACTCTCAAGCTGCACAGAGCGTCTACCAACCACACAACATTCTTACAAGGGGATGTAGGACCCTAAACATAATTTTAAAAACATCAAGGGAAAATCCAAACTAGTTCTAGATTGCAAAGGCTATAAAATCTGACATCATGACAGCTCTTATTACTTTCACAGAAATTTTCACTACTTTGTAAGCTTTATTTTGTTCTGTCAGGCACAGGTATAGAAATGGACATTAGTTGGCCCAGAAGACTCCTCAGACTTTCACATGAAAACCTCTCTAAGCTCAAATTAGTTCTAGTTTTAGTTGACAGTGCTCAGACATTTGTTTAAATGCCTGTGGAGTGACCTCMTTCACAAGTTCTGTCACCAAGAAATGGGTGCAGATCACAAGCACCCCTGATGCTGTCAGGGTGGCAGGAGTGGTGGATGAAGAGAGGTGAACCCCTCACCATCACTGGAAGAAACCAGCCAACTCCAGACACAGTTTGCATAATGTCAACATGAGAGTACAGAGAAAATATCTAAATCCAGCTCTGACTATCATMATTTCCAACGGGAAATGAAGAACAGCTGAGGGTGCTCCCATTTTACTATCGGCAAGGTCAATTGCTGTGTTAGAAATTATGTATTCAAGATTTCTTTTTTTAATTAAGCTACTTCCATAATTTAAACTGTTAAAAAACAATCAGCTCAGGACACAAAAAACTTAAATTGTGGGACAAAATATGCAACCATAACCATCAGGAAGGGCAGCTCTCCATGAGAGTACCAAGGGTCCCCAGCACAAAAGCAACACTCAAAATAACTCAATTTGATTTATCACACTGACAAAGATTCTTAAATGTGGTTCAGCCGAACACATACTAAAGAAATAGGAACGAAAAATGTGTCCTAAAAGTGCAAAAAACCATTTACAAAATCAAGGAGCAGAAGCCAGAGACTTTAAACTTCAGCTATAGTTTGTAAGGGAGCACTTAATTTATTTCCATACCATAGCAGCTCTTTCTTAACCATCTGCTGTTGTACAAAATGATCCAAATGTCTGAATCACTCAYATCAAACATTAGTTCAGTTCTCAATGGGCAAATAATCCACAGAAACACACAGAAATAATTTTACATTGCATATTCAAGTTTTAAATTWGGTAGTTCAAGAACTTCTATTTTACATAAATAAAATCCAATGCAACTATGAATCACTACCAGCAGCAAGACCCTGCAAAACATCTCACACATGGTTCACATAAGCTTTCAGCAGATGTATTCATGCTTGCTGAACATGACAGGGCATGTTTTATTGGACTATTAATACCCGTCTTCACTGCTTTTGGAGGAATGAGGGTGTCTGCAAATGGGTCAATAAAGCAAGCTACTGACTACTTTTATCCTGACACTAAAAAAAACAACACATGGTTTTAAAAAAACAGTTTGTAAACTTATCATAAAGATAAATATCTCTTCACATCTGTTACTTCTAAATCTCTCTGGAAAAACTTAGTATTTAAAAGAACAAAAGCAATAAATAAATAKCATTGGCCTTCTTTCTAGCTATGCTTTTCTTCCCCTAACACATTTTCCTATTCTTTTCACAGATGCTCTTTACTCAAATTCCCTATTTTATGYTTTTCTTTTGTCTTGCAACAGAAGCATATGTTTAAACAAAGTTCTGACTCTGCTGCCCTGCTAAAAGGTGGTTTACATGACGCAAAATACATTTGATTTACCTCCTATAGTAAAACTTTAAACAAATCCCTTACTTATAAAACAGGCTCATAGCAGTCCAAYTGATGGACATGTACAGTATTCCAAAACACTACTCCTCAAAGCAGGGCCAGGGACCAAACATCAAGGAAGTATTGGTACAGCTCACTGTGTGTAGCCCAGAAAAGAAATTTATTTTCATTAAAAAAMCATACAACAGACTATTTGATGCAATGAATACTTGTTACTAATGCACTTATTTTTTAAACTTGTCTTACATATTAGTTATGCACAACTTGCACACCAAAATTTCCTAACAGCTCTTCTGGCCATCAGTGGAGCGTGTTGGGAACACTCCTGTCTTATATAACAGCCAGTATATAAGTTATATACTTACATACCAGTATATATCCCCATTCTGACACTATAATRAGCTTTACTAATGCACATTATCATCAGCTAGATATTCTGGAGACAAGGAAAAACCRCCAAAATCCAACCAAGTGATTTCCCACCAAAGTCCCTCATGCTTTACGATTACAAGAATATTCTGGAAGGTAAAGCACAAGAATCAAAACACTGAAGTCCCTCTCTTGATTCTGCTGTTTGACCTTGAGCTTCCTTGTATTGCTTGCCTGTGTTCAGTGAACTGACAAGAATATTAAAGTAACCCCCATTAGTATTTGTTAAATGATCTGGTATATTAAAATAGAGGCGGTTTATAAGTATGCCAGTATTCTCTGAGTTAGGGAACATTTTAGAAGCCTTCAGCCTCCTAAAAGTTGCAAAGACACTCAGAGCAATGTTTTTTTTTTCTGTAAAAAATAGATAACATGATCACAATTGAAGGCCAGACAAGACAACTTTCACCTTTGCACTCACTAAGGCAAAATTTTTACTCCAAAATTAGACCTAGATTTAGCAAAGACAGATGAGAAACTGGGAAGAATATCCTTCACTTGCAGAATTTTGGGCTGAGAGGGGATTTAGCACACAAAGCTGCAATGGTTTATCCTATCACCCCTTYCAGCTCCAACCTAAAGTCCAACATACTCACTTAATACTGCTAAGGCAGTGTCTTAAACCACAGCAGCTGTTTTTTACTTTCAATATGAGTGACAARCCTTAACCTTCAGGCTTTGTTGAAGCCTACGTTTTGTAGTTTGAATTATCACTTCAAATAATGATGAAAAGTTAAATATTAGCTTTTTCTTTCCTGGTTTCGCACAGATCTAACGACTTACCTATGCAGAAAAGATGAAGAATGATCAAACAGAATGCACTAAAATGGGACAGCTGTAGGATTGCACGTGGTTGTGCAGAGGGAAAAAAAACCATGGTAATGGAGCTGTCAAATAATTATATCCATTATATGTATWCAGGTGTAAATCAGGTCATTCTTGCTAGGTCAAATGATTCTTTCAACTTTCCTACTGGGTCATCCACATGAAGAAGACTGAATTTTTTTTTTTTTTGTAAGCATGAACTTTAGGTTGCAGAGAAGAAAGGTTAACTTTGCAGAGAAATTTTTGTACTTTTGACAACCATTCAGGAACACATTCAGCAAAGCTCAAAACAAGTGCTAAKTTAGTTTATTTTATGGTAATAAAGAGCTTTAAAACAACTGCATTAAGGACATTTAACATATGAAGTAGTTTTCCTGCCTCAGGGAAAAAAGAAAATCAAAGCAAGAAGATATCCTCCTGCTTTTCCAAATTTAAGACATTCCCAGCAATGAAAATGCCATTACTAACATCCCTATGCCCTATTCTTAAAAAGAAAAGAAGTTTGACATTTGAGATTGAGTTGCAGAGCAGATTAAAGGATTTGTTTTACCACTGGGAAATGTAGTTCACAATTTCATTTCAATCAAATTGCAATTAGGGAAAGAAGGAAGATCCATAAAGGACACAAATAAGACCAACAACTGACCTAATGTATGTGCCAGTTTTTGCTAAAAAGATGTTCAGAACATGAATGGGACACTGCCTCAGCAGAACAGTGTGAGGAGAGAAGCAGGGATATGTCTCAGCACAACATGGAATTAAATTTCTCAGAGACTAAGACAGAAAAAATTAAAGTAGATGCCACACCTTGYTGTAGGCTTCATCAGAAGCCACACATTACCCATTAGAAAAACTAAACTTCTGACAGTGTCATGTAAATGTCTCTATTACGCCACCACACTAAATGTGTTTTGAGTTAACTGTGTTCCCCTTAGGAAGGGTACAGTGTACTTTCAACTCTCCTTAGACAGAAATAGTCACTGAAACAAAATAAGTCTTTGCTATTTGTCATTGGGTCAGGGCAGGGTAAATGTCATGCAGCTGCACATGGTTTATCTCACACTTCCCCTTGCAATCTACACATGTGGAGGGCTTCGGTGGCAACAGAAAACAGAAAAAGAATGAGTAAGAAAGAAAAGATCTGCAATGGCAGGAACCCAATGAGTCCACAAGACTTCTCATTTATACAGGGGCCATGGTTACAATAAAATGCAGTTTCATTGCTGAGATGAACATGCAGAGCTTTACTTCTATGTATGAAAAGGTAGAAAGCAGATGGTATTTTTTAAATATACCTGTGATCTACTTGTATTTAGAAACCTGCTGGAATAAGGAAAACAAAAYTTTAACTATTCTTTGCAAAGTTCTCAAAGATGTCATCTATTTTAACACATAACCCTGAGCACAATATTTAGGAGCACACTAAAGGCTGAAGTCAGCTTATCCAAAGGGTAAAGGCAGCAGGTGCAGAAGCACCGCCAAGATCCCAACATTGCACTCGTGCCACGCTTCCACTCAGGATCCACTCCTGAGAGGTGCCAGGGGACACTCCAAGCATGCCATTCTCTCCATGTATCCCAGGAGCCGTGGGCCCCAGGCAGCTCCTGAGCATGCCATTAGCACTGGAGGCTCTCACTCATCTCGGCAGTGTGATCATTCCCTTCCTAACTGGTTTCAACCAAAATAAGAGGGATACACCTCAGCAAGGCTCATTTTAGTGAGATGTCTTTGCTGCTGCAGAGCAGGAGAGACAGAACGTGTCCAAGGGACAAGCACCTTCCAGAGCACAGCCCCGCTATCCAGTGGCACTCTCCACTTGCCCACTGTKGTTTGGTTGGAGCACAGGCATCAGGGCAGGCATCTACTGCAGCAGCAACCCATGAGAACAGGCTTTACTACAGTATCAATTTTGCTACATACAACAGCACAGCAGTAGTAAAACAGAGCTGCAATTTCAGTATACAACACCTGCTGAACCGTAAGATTCAGTCTCCAAGGCCCTTGAGACAACGCCTCTAGAAGGGGATCTATCTACCCCAGTGGATTACAAGATCGATACTCACAAATATACAGTGCTCATCAGTGCTGAAAACTTGCTATCATAAAACCTGCAGAGGTCATGGCAACTTTAAATTATCGATTTTATTGCATGTRTTAAGATGCAGTCATGGTAAATGAAAAAAACCTCTTTTTGTCTCCAACATGCATGCCTGCTTCAAGAACAGCTTCTAGAAATTTCCTTAAATATTCCAGTAAAGACAAAAATACCTAGATCTAATTGACCAAATTTCACTACAGTTCTTGACAAACAATAACACAGAATATTTGCAATTGCCCTTGACAAGAAACAAGATTATTTGTTGTGAAGTGCTGGCAGTTATTATCTTGATATGCTGATATTATCTTGATGCTGACTTCTGAAATATATGCATCGTGACTTCTGATGGGGAAGAATACAGTRCAACACTCCTAACACTCCAGGACAAAACTCAGAAGAAAGAACATGTTATAARTTTGGGAAGAAGCATTTTGTAAATCTCTTTGGGCTTGGAAACAACATGTTTGACATGAAATATTACTGACATTGACAACATTGTACTAAATACCTCTAACAGAACCTTGATTAGGAACCTCTGGAAGCATTTGGAAAGCCTGTAGTAAGATGTGTCTAGAGCAGGACACATGATAGTATTTTATTAAGCACTCACAAAAATAAAGGAGTTCCTCCTTGAGCATTGCTAGAAACTTTCATCAGAGCTTACAGGTGTCATAATGATGTTACTGCTGAAACCCACTAGGACTAACAACTTTTCCTCCCTCTCCCTYYTTTTAAACAGGTGAGAAAGTCATCATATTTACTGWAGTCACACATTAATATCACCAAATGCCTTGGGTGCATAAATGTAGCAAAATTCTTACCTCAGATGATTTTGAGTTTTCATAATATATACCTTGAACTAAGTCACCAATAGCACTTGAAATGAGTTCCACAACCTGTCAAAGAAAAGAAGAAAAAGCCTTACATCTTCAATTATCACCAAATTGACTAACAAAGCTACTGCCAGATTTCCAGAGAGATAAACCACGAAGAAAGCTAGTTGTGAAAGACTTCAGGATTTACTGAGATATATTCTGTGATATTACTATGTCTCTGCTAAAACCTCTACTGCAGTAACTCTTCTATCAAAGTTTTAAGTTCATATAAATGAAAAACAAGACTTGTTTTTCCTAAAGTGTGAACTATAGAGTGTATTCTCACAAGGACGTTCACAGAACTAATAAATCCCAGTTCATGAATATGAGACAGTACCTCATCTGGGCTTTGTTTTGTTTTGTTTTTTTCCTGCCAAGTAAATACTTCACAATACCTCTCCTTGGGAGCTGTTAAAATTCTAATCTTTGTGGCTAATACAGAAAAGTCAGAATCCATAGAAAGGTAACCTTTCAAACGTGATCATTTGGTATTCGGGTGCCCTGGGAATGCACTGTGGATGTATTTAGTGCATGGCCTGAGGCTCAGCTGTACCACATACACTCAAAGTCTGCAACACGGGAATGTTTAAATCAGATTTATCAATCTGTATTATCTTCAGGGTTCAGACTTTTTATTTTATTCAAGCGAAGCCTAAAAATCTGAACTTGATCCAGAATGTAAAACAAGCAGTCCACGGTCTCCCTGGAACTACTGTACAATTTAAAGTTGTGCACATGAACTGTCTTAATTGGAACAAAATACTCAGATTTATTGTAAAATTAAATGCAGGCATTTTAAATAAGCACACCTTAAGGCTACCTCTTTGGTTGCTCACCAAGTTTTAATTTCTTGAATGTTTAATTTCCTATGCATATGAGTCTATATCTGATTCCACTTTTTGCTTCCTAAAATTCAATGTAGTTTTTATTGAATTAAAAGATTTAGTTTCAATTTTTATCATTCTTGTAACTGAAGACAAGAAGCCAAATGATAAAAACCCTAACRGAAAGATATTCTAACATTTAGGCATGCTTTATTTGATAATAAAAACACATTTGTATGCTAGTTTTTAGTACTAGCAGAAAGGTTGTGTTTTTTTTAAACACTGGTTCATATACATATTCATATACACACAGCAAGCGCTAACTTTAGAAATGGTGCTGATTAAAAGTCATGTTTTTTCTTGCAATGCATATGGGTTAATTTGCAAGACCTACAAAAACAGCCTGAAAAAAAAAAAAAATCACATTGCCCTTTAGGAAACCAGACACTGAAGAAATATTGTAGCAATATGAGCTTTGAAGGAACTGAAAGGACAATGATCCTACAGTGTTACCAGATGTGTTGAGTTATTTAAGTGGGGAACAGAGAAAATGAGGGGCTTTTTCTTTTTTTTTTTTTAAACAACAATCCTCACCCCCTCACTACCCTCCCCGCTCCTTTTTTTTTAAGGTATCAGATAAGCCTTATTCCCAAATCCAGGAGGACTGAGTATCGCCAATAGGTCTATGAAAGTCTGTAACTAAATGCCCAGGATCAGATTGTATTACAGTTTATACAAGCAACATCCCAAGATTCTTCTGATGGCTARGACACATAATACAGATCAATCACTCACTCAAAAATGTTATGGTTTGTGAAATGGTCTGAGCTCAGAGACCTACACTGGTAATACGAAGAGGAATTTACAAAGACACAGAGTCCTACTCTAAATGTCAAAGTGATAGTAWGAACTTTTAACAATGCAGCTGGCTCTGGATAACTAGACCTTTTCCTCTCTTGCCTGAAACTCTAGACTGAGCAGGACCCTGTTTTGGGGTTTCTTTTTTCCCTCTCTCCTCCCTCTTTTTAGTGCAACTCTACTCTCAAAGGCAATTTTAACTGACTCAAAATAAGCTTGGTGAAACATTTGTGAACAATTGYACCTCTTCCTCTTAGAGTTTATAAAACATCTTAAGAGAATTACACATCAGCTATTTAGAAGAATCCTTATTATATTAAATAACATTTAGTGACATATTGAACACTATATTTTAGGGAGAATTTAGTATTAATACTACCTCCTTTCTTTCCAAATATATATGAAAAGAATACTTTTWAGGTAAATGTAATGCTATACAGATCACTACCGGGAATGAAATTCCAGTTTCAAGAGCACAGTGGGATGCTTGCATGAGGCTCTGTTACCTCACCAACTCTAAATCTGATCCATGAAAAGCATCTCCTGCTTAACAACAGTGGCCTGGGGTCCTGAGCGCTGGGGAAAGAAATGAGAAACGAGGAAACCAGGCAATATTCCGCTGCATCCCAAAATGACAGACCAAGAAAAATGATTACAGATTCAGTAGTATTCACAGAATGATACACTGTCTAGCTCTTATGTAGCACTTTTCATCAGAAAATTTGAAAGCAATCAACATCCCCTGTTAAATTTATTCCCTACTGTTTTTATATAAGGGGAGAATGGCAACAGTGAACTGATTTTCTACAAAATCAGCATGCAGCATGCCAGTGTAAGAATAGAAAACAGTATCCAAGTTGTCTTCATTCTCATTGCTGCCTTTCTGCCTGACCAGTGCTGACATTTCTGAGCTGCAAGTCTGAGGAGCAAGAAAATTAGATGAAAAATGAAGTTCTCCCAACTGCTTCTCTTCTCATTTGACAGTAGAGCTCCATTTTAAAAAGGTTCAGAGACAAGGAAAGAGAAGAAAGGAATGCCAGAATTAGTGCTTGAGAACAGCAGCAACTCAAAAGAGACCAAAGGCATATTTCCTGTCTTTCCATTATTTTCCACTCCTCAACGTGTTTTTGAGAAGCCTGGTTCCTCATATGTATTCAAGATGATCAGAAGCAGCATCACATTGAGAGAAAACAAACTTCCACTCTATTTATCATTTTCCACTCTGCATCAGCATCTTCCAAAGTGCTGTTTTCTGCTCCTCCAGTGTCCCCAGGACTGGGTATGGCCCAGGGGATCACCCATTACTTACAGGTGCCAAGTGCACATTCGAGTGATTTCACAGTCTTTAAACATTTCGCAACAGTTCTGCCAGTATTTATTTTTATTTTTTTGTAAGGAGGTATCACTTTGACACTTTTTGTAGGGCTGTGATCTCTTCTGCTTTTAAGAAGTCAACACAAGGGCCATCAGTTTAGGATGAATACAGGGAAAAGAGATGGATTGTTAAAGCTAAAATTTCTCTTACCATCTAGGCAGACTAAGTGTAAAACATGATGTAAGCTCTGGACACAACCATTTGATTGCTCATTCCACAGAAAGGTAGAACACATGCTCTGACCTCTCCAATTCATTTAAATATGAAATAGTACAAAAGACTGTGGTGTGTTTCAGTTCCAGAAGAGTTCTGTAGGGTTAAAGATCAAAAAGTTGATGAAGCCTAATCTACCGTTTTCTGGTGCAGTAACTTGTTTGTCAAAAATGCACAGCTTTAGCCCTTCAAGGGTCTTTAAATTTACTTTGAGCCCAAATACTCAAGCTGAAAATGTCTATATATTACTTGAAGACATAAATAAAAATGTTGGTAATTCATTTAGTTCAGAAAATTACTCAGGACATCCAATCAATCACTTAAAAGAAGGTTCTCCCTCCTTTTCCTGAAATCGGAATTACGTGTAGTTTACTGAGGACTTAAGATAATTCAGAGTTCAGGATTCCCAAATATCATACATGATGTCACATGTGTTCACTGCTGAAGGTACAGCAGCCCAGTTCATGACTGCAGTTGACTGTCCTGGGAGATTCAACCCCAGCTAATAGAAAAAGAGATGTATTTTGATGAAAGCAAAACTTGTGCTAGAAGGAATGCAGGGAAATCACAGAACATAAAATATTCTGGTAGAATACTTTCTTTAAAGTTATAAGATATGATTCAGACTCCATCAAGCACAGTAAAATGAATAGATTCTGAGCCCCACTCATCCTTCATGGAGTTTTAAAATAACCTGGATGAAAAGACAACACTGGTGCCATCAGTTTAGCAACTCAAGCACTTTGCTCCCTTCACTTGCCTTCAAAATACTTTGTTCAAAGTTTACTGCAACATAACACTGCTTCTGGGGTTTCTTCTGGTTTTCCTTCCAGTTTACAAATCTGAGCTCCATTCAAAGAATGGTCATTTTATTGTAAATTCAGCAGCTGAAATGGAATTGGTTACACAGACTACTCTATTTCAGAGCAGTAATGTGGTGTCTCTGCAGACTCTATTGGATATTTTCAAGGGGAACATCACAGAAAGAATGGCGCTCTTATGGGAAGACAGGAAACAGCACTATAGGAAGAACAACACGAAGAACACAGCAATGGGCATATCTTTGTTCTTCATCCCGCACAATTTCTATTTGAGAAACCTCCTTAGCTCTGCCAAATTCCTTCTGAGAAGAACCACAAGTAATCCTTCCATCCTTACAATGAAACAATATCCTTTCCTTACACATCTGCTATGACAGACCCTAAACCTTGCTGCTGATGCATAGATTTGAAAATTTAGCAGGAATTCTCCACACAAATAAAGAAGAAAATTAGACAGTCAGGAACCATTAAATATATAGATAAAAATTCTTTCAGCTTGCATTTGACTTCCCTCCCCAAAAAAGTGCTAATTTGGAAAACACTGCAACATTTGAAAATTCCACAGCAAGTCCTTAAATATTCTTCTGCATTTGACACAGCAACATTGCAACGCTAGGAAACTAAACACAAAAGTCAGAAGAGCCAAAATTGGATTTTAATTGTTTAATAATGACAAAAAAAAAAAGGAGCAAAAACTGTAAGGAGTTCCAATAACAGTGAAATTCAATTTTCTTTCCTGGTAATCTCCTCGAACATCATTAGTCATACAGGTAATCAAGTGTGCCAGCCTACAGAATGTTTTTAAAAACCTAGTGTTTATTGAATCCTATTGGATTTACTATTTGAAATCCTCTTGAGCTTTATGTTTTTGAAGCTGGGTCTCTCTCAGTTGAAACACACAGAAAGGACAGCGATTTGCTTTCTAGCATG